CTTCCATAGTACGCATCTCACCTTCTATCTACCTTCGTCTATGAAACACTCTTCTGTCCTCTCCCCCCTTCTCTACTTTTTGTCACTTTGATTTTCCTTCACCTCTGTGAAGCCTGAAGTCAACTAAAGGGCTAATGATGACTATCAAAACGCCTGCCATTTGATATAAATAAATATTTTGAACTTTGTTTTTTTCCGTAAATAACTAGACTCATTTATGTACAGACACAATTTTAAAAAGGCAATAATAGCTTCTAAATCAGCTACTAAGGTTGAAAGACTGAAACGATAATGATTTTAATGATGATTCATAGAGTAAACTCGAAACAAAGGCATGACGATTGAATATGCGAGAGGGTGGGGAGACCATTGAGCCAATACAGCCTCCTAATAAATGATGTACTCCCTTTGAACGAATGCTTTAACCCGGCTTACACAATATCAAAGCTTAACGCACCAATAGCGCAGTGGTTAACGTAGATATCAGATAAATTAGAATTTACAAGCCCGATATTGAGCGGTGCACATCCAGTGATGTGAACGCCCAACCTCAGGGATTCATATTGGACAGCAAGATGCAAGAATGTCGTAGGGTCGTCTCCAGGTTACTGTATCTCTGCAAATAACAGGTATCAGAAAACTAATTGCTTCAACATGCTCAATCACCATTCGCAACCATTAATATTATTATAGTCACATTAACAATTTATTCTTCAAGCAATTTCAACTTGCTGGAATTAAAAAAACTCGAAAATTTATTGTAAATTCATCTAAAATGTGCAACGCTTAGCATAATAAATTCAAACATAATTAATTAATTGAAGCTAAATTTTTCAACTCACATAATTTGATCTTCGGTTTCGTCTTTTTTGTCTGTCGTTTCGGTTTTCTTGGATTCTTTACCTGCCGGTTAGCCACACCAGCACCGCCAGTTTTCTTTACTGACTTCAATTGTCTACCGGCAGTTTTTGGCGTTGAAGGATCAGAGGGCTCACCGACCACCTCAAAGAAGTGCCTTTCTACCTCTCGTTTATTTCTTTCTGCAAAGGTAGAGTTAAAGAAACGACGACTATTTCCTTTATTGACGGACCTAGCACTACCAGTCTTCGGATTTTTTGTTGTCTTCGGGGGTTGCTTCTGAAGAGCGGTTTCATTGATGCTCCTATCACATTCATCTGCCTTTGCTAAGATAGCCGACTTAGAGGTGATGTTAAAGTACTTATTTCCAAAGGCAGGAACAATGAGACCTCCTATTAAAAAGTAATAAGGTCTGGCTTAAACAGTTGCGTTTTACGAGGTTACTTGTTAAATGATAGGAGGATTTTGAATAAAGGCTTCATCTGTTCTATAATAAATAGTTACATTTCCCTTAAAAGACACCACATTAAAGCGTTTTTTTTTGTTCAAAACTCAGTAGAACAAAGCCTTCCAGTCATTTGTGTTACCTATATTTTACATGGATTTACATTTCCAAAATTCATTAAAACATGCCACGTAAACCATGAAAATCAAACCACCATTGATGTCTTTCTTCATTTTAAAACAACTACCTTCTCTTAATCCTGCAAAAGGCATTTTGACTTTCAATATCGTGGTGGTCAACGCGCACGTCTTCCAAATGCAGCAATTAATTTGGTGCAATTACTGGTGTCATAATTAATTCTTCTAGGTGCAGTTAAAATTCCTTCCAGTGAACTATAGAAACTTAGTTGTTCAAATTCAGCGCTTTCAGAGTGTAAGTCATCAAGCATCCACTTCTTCATGGAAATCAAAAGTATGTTATGTTAGTATCCCAGTGATCATTTTTGGAAGATTTTCTACATTAATTTATTACTTGAGAACCCAATTTTACAAAGGTATACACCCAAGAAGATCGACATAAAGCATATTTTTATGCATGGGGAATTTGTCGTCATTTCATTGATTATAGTTCAAATGCCAAAGATGCCAGGACGGTCTAATTCAATGAAAGGTGGCGATTTTTACAGTTTGCAGGAAAGGTATAAACTCATTAATAGATTTTTAAGACTTCAATTTCAAATCATTCATTGCATTACTTCAAAACGAAAATGGGTAGTTCGGTACCTGGAGGAGGCGTTTTGGTTTGATGCTCCTGGCTCAAGACTCTAGGTGATTCATCAAAGAGATAAGTTACATTTGGATTATAAAGCTGTCTTGAAGAGAGAAGACCACTCTGATTAAGCGTCAACTTCTTACTCTCCTCTTCGGTTGACTCCAAAGCATTGACAGCTGCTTCTAGACGTGTCAGGGGGGAAATGAAGAGGGGGGAGACATTACTTCGACTGAGCGACTGAGAGCCGCGCGATGAGAAGCTGGCAGTTCTATCAGTTGTGGAGTTGTTGACACCGCTTCGAGTTGTTCGTGCGCCACTGCGAGGTGCTGGTTGGATCGGGGTGGCAAATATGTCTGCCTCTTCGCTAACTGGAGCCTATTCAAAATATAATGAGCAGGATTCCATATCAGTTTCCTTCAAAGGCCACTGAATAATCAATGATATGGGGTTATTTGGATCATTTAGACAATCAAATTTCACTTAAAATGATGAAAATCATGTAATGTCAAAAATAGAACATTATTTCAGAAAATTGAATTACCACAAAAATGTATAGGATAATTGAATAACGCATAAAAACCGTAAATGATGCCGACAGTATGAGTAGATATGGGCCTAGAATCACAAGTAGAGACCATAGCAGGGATACACCAAAGCAACTGACAAGCTTTCTTATAAGACGAGGGGATTGGTTACTATATTGACCAATAGCAAATATTGGGTTGGCAACTAAGTCATTGCCGTTTTTG